GAAAGATGTATGGTTCTTTTGAAGAACTGCAAGACAGGAGAGCCTGGAACAGAAAAGCTGTGAAAATGGTAGTCATAGTAATGATCCTAACAACAACAGTAATAATAGATAGTATTATTATATCAATATATAGTATATATTATATCATAATATGTGATATTATTCATATTAACTTGATGTTTATGCATGCTTAGAGCATGCTAGGTACCATTCTCACAACCATATTGTTATCCCCATTTTACAGATGAGGAAACCAAAGCACAAAAAGGCCAAGCAGTTAACAACAGATTGCAGTTAGTAAATGGCAGAAACTGGATTCAAATCCAGATAGTCATATGCCAGAGCCTACATAGCTTGAGGACAGATTATGCAGGACCTTGTGGGCCTTGTTATGAATTTTGGTCTTTATCCTGAGAGCAATGGGGAGCCATTGTAGGGTTTTAAGTGGGAAAGTAAGATGAAGCAGATTTGTGTCTGGAAAGATCATTTTGGCTACCCCTTGAGGCCCATATTGGAAAGCGCAAAAATCAGCGTGGAAAGAACAGTTAGTTGTTTTGGCAAGAAATTTTTTTTCTTCTTAGACAGTTCTTTTGCTTTATAATCCATAGTTATTGACTTTATTGTATAAGTAAAGTAATAATATTTAAAAATAATAAATGTAATAATAATATAAATCATAAAATAATAAATATAATAATAATGAAAACAATATTTTATTTCCCACACCTTCTCACAGACAACATCATTCCAGGACAGGGATGCCAGATAAATTTTGTCTCACTCAAGAACTCCACGCCTTCCTAGTGTGCTATGCTAAGAAGGGTTCTGAGGTAGTGTCTGCAGGATGCAGGATGGGGGATGATGGCATCCATGACACTTTCTTTCTTTCTAGATGGCAAACTGTAAATTCTTCCTCTTCCTCTGTCAAAAGTAACCATTTGTTTGCCAAGTTTTTTATCTTTATTTATTTATTTTTTTCCTTTTTGTCTTTTTTACTGACCGGTAACGGGATCGCAAC